CGCTTGAAGTTATGAACTGCTGTTAAAAAAATATTTTAGCTTTATTAATGAACAAAAGCTTAAAAAAACATGAAAAAGATGTGAAAGAGAGATTTATTATTGTAAACAGTAAACAAATAATTAATTAATGTGGCTGGGATTATGATGAACCAATCAAATTTGGAGGATCCAGGTTAAAATCCTAAACCTCTTGATGCAGGTTAAGATTTCTCATTTAATAAGGTTGTCTCATTGGGATCAATTACTGCGGATTTTTCACTCTATAAATAACATATTGATCATCAATCTAGCCTTTACGATTGAGTTTATTTTTACAATGAAAGGTACAAACAATAAGATTGTATATATCAAATTGTTCTTAAGCATGTATTCTTTCAAATGACAGTTTTCTTTTTAAATTTTTTTTTTAACTTTCTTCTAAAATGCCGTATTAAGCATAAAAATTTAAGTTTTTTAACTTTTCACTATGTAAGTTTTTCAAGTTTTATTTTTAAATTTAAAAAATAAAAATGTCATGTTAATCTATATGAAAAAAGGATTTATTTAAGGTATTATTCATTAATTTTGTATCGTTGATTATGAAAATAAACTTCTTTAAAAATATAAATTAATAATATATTACATAATATATATATTATAATGAATAAAATAATTCTAGAGGCCGTTAATTGTCTAATACTCGTAAAATTTGAGCTGAAAACTTAATTATGCTCCTCGCTTACAGAAGTTAATCACCATTACTACTTCTTTGGAATCAATAAGTTTTGAGAATCTTCAAAAATTACAAATAGAATTGAATAATTTTAACAATAAATCTGATTCTAATGAACAACATTTTTCTGATGTTGAAAAGTTAAAAGAAAAGCTTATTGAGAATATTAAGAAACTACCTGTCAATCAAGTTAAGGTTGCATATTATCATTTTCAAAATATGAGATATACAAAAAGAAAAATTCAAGGAGATATTTTTTCAATTTATGTACAAAAAAAAGCAATAGAATTTCTTAAATCAGAATTATACAAAAATACTGAAACAAAAGATTATCTTCAAAAAAAAGTCAAAAAACTAGAAAAATTTCAAGACAAATCTCTTTATCAAGTTTGTGGTTTAAATTCTAAGATAACAAAATTATATAAGAAGCATATTTCAAAAGTTCGTTCTTATGAAAGAAAACTATTACCTATTACTAATACAAAATTTAAGTCAGCAATAAAAAATTATTAAAGAAAATAAAAAGAATTTTCATTAAGATTTAAGTTAATAAATACATAAATGATACAAGCAGAAGAAACTTTAATAAGAAGTACTGTAAAAAGTGACAAATTATTTTATGAATTTATTACAGGATAATCAGATAATACATTTTTATCAATACAATCTATAAGTTATTGGCATAAAGAAATTTCTTCTTTTCATATAAAAAAAAATTTTTTATCATCTTCAATATCATTAAAATATTTTGCTTTTGGTATAATGGTTGATGAAAGTGGATATAGTGAAAAAAATTTTTTCATTATTTGTTTTATGTTTTGAAATCCAAAAATTAATATTCCAGATATACCGTATATTGCGGGCTATAGTACCCGGGTCCTTTGCAAATTTTAAAGGTTTTTGGCCGTACCTGGGGGTACATTACACCGGTGGATACTATACATAGGGGGGGTACAGAAATTGTAAAATACCTCAGATACTTACCGTGTATAATACCCTCTTGTCACTAACACGATTTGTTGATTATCTGTAACACATTTTACCATAATTATAAATTTCCGTATTGGAAAAGTCACATTTTTCCCATGATATGCTTCGTCTTATTC